AACGCTGAAGGAGTTTGAATATTCACCATAGATCAGTTGGAAAAAATGCAGCCAAGCCCGGGCCTGAGCCCAAGCCCGACCCGACCTGAGCCCGACCCCCTAAGTCGAGTCGGGCTCAGGATTTTTCGAAGCCCAAGCCCGCCAAGACCCGACCCAAGCCCGGGCTTTCAAGACCCGACCCGACCCGGCCATCACTAAATGCTTCATATTATGGTATCACAAGGTATCTCAAGGCACTAGAGCGGAAAGCCTATTACAGAAGGAGAAAAAAAGATGTACAGAAATTTCAGACGCGACCGTGGCCGACTTTCTTCCAGTCCCCTGCATTCCCCCTGTATGACACGGGCGGAGCAGTAGAAGGGTAGAAGCTGGAATGTGGTGCTGTGTCTCGGAGTCACATTGTGGAGAAGTGGAACAGGAGGCTAATCCTGAGGATCGCAAGATGGAAGGGAGAAGAGAGGATGATTTGGTGTCGTCGGGGTTTGAAATTGACTGATCAACTGTGCAGCCCAATCAAACGGACTTGGAAGAAATTTGGATTCGTGATTCTGATGAACGACGAGGGCCAGATATGGATTCCGATGTCGAATCGACGTTGAAACAATTCGTTGGCTCCAGCATTCGTTATTGGACAGTCCAGCCGGGATGTCTTGCCGACGGCAGCCAAATCGGCCGACATGTGTGCCATCATCCGGTCAAGGCAAAATCGTGCCGTTTGATTCCACGTCTATCCGACCTCGGATCTACCTGATTTTTGGACCGAAAATGGCTGAGAATTATGCCGGTCGGTTTCTCTAGAATCAGCACGGGAAGTCAAACGGTGGTGTAGAATCGAGGGAGAGCTACACAGCCACCCGCCCTTTTCGGTCCGAGTCACCGTGACCGTGACCAGCATCATGATTGCTCGCCGCCATCTCTCAACCGCAACTAATCCCTGCTGTGCCGGCGGCGTTCGCGTTCTTTCTAAGTAATCCATTCGTCTGGTATGAATCCGCGGATGCGTCCCTGGAGTGCTCTCTGCCGTCGAATGTTAGGAGGCAGATTCCAGATGTGTGGAAGTGGTGGACTCAGTGAACTGTGGGTAAACCCCCAAAATATCGCTTATTTAAAGAGGCTCCTAGCTGGTGGATTGAGGCCAGTAGCCGATGGTTCGCACCAGCTCTCGATTATTCTATATCTCTACGGAAGCCTATCTGCGGGGGATGCTCATTCTATTCGAGCCTGGGCCTTGCACCTAACGCTGATTTAAACGTGTTGGAGGGAAGCAGTGGAAGGCCCAGTAGCGCATAGTTTGCGCCTGCTCTCGAGATGTCCTCTCTGCAAGCCTGGCCGCGGGAGGTACTCGTTCGACTCGAGCCTGGGCTGTTAGGAACTGTCCTTTGCTTTTACTCTCCAACTCAGCGAAACAACCCTGGTTTAACTAAGCTCACAGGTACAAAAGGAGGCCCAGTAGCGGATGGTCCGCGGCTGCATTCAATAATTATTGTCGACCCTGTCCGCGGGAGATGCTCGTTCGAATCGAGCCTGGGCCCTGATCCACCAGCTGTCGTCTTTTTATTTTCTTTCGCGGAGTCAACGAAACAACACTGACTTATATTTGTTTGTAGGTACAAAAGGAAGGCCTAGTAGCGGATGGTCCGCGCCTGCTCTCAATGAAGAAAATTATGGGTACCCAATTCTGCAGGAGAGCTCGTTCGAATCAAGCCTGGGTCATTGGCAAATATTGTCCGTCGCTTTTTTATTCTCCGCCTCAACGAAGTAATGCTCGCGTAACCAAGCTCACAGGTCCAAGAGGAGGGCCCAGTACCGGATGGTCCGCATCGATACTGGCGTGAGTCCAGTAGCTTATCCGTGGGAGATGCTCGCTCGAATTGAGCCTGGGCCTTGCCTCGTCTTCTCGCAGTTTTTCGTGGAGTCAACGAAACAACGCTGATTTAAATCAGTAAATAGTTACAAGAGGAAGGCCCAGTAGCGGACGGTCCGCGCCTGCACTCAGTTCGTATCCGGTGGAATTTCACGCCGGTTTCCGCTCGTTCGACTCGAGCCGGGGCCATAGTATGTGTCGTCTGTCTTTTTTCTTTCCGGAGTCGAGAAACAACGTTGGTTCAAAGTAGTTTTTATGCAGTAGAGGACGGCCACAGGAGTGGATGCTCCTCACCTGCTCTCAATAAACCAATGTGAATCCGATTTCAACACTCGTTATAATCGAGCCTGGACCATACATATCTTCCCTGTCTTTTTCCGCGGAGTCAGCGCAACAACGCTGATTTAAATTCCTGCGTAGGCTATGGATGAAGGCCCAGTGGCGGACGATCCGCGCCTGCACTCAATTTGTTCTGTGTGGAATTGCACGCTGGTTTCCGCTCGTTTGACTCGAGCCTGGGCCATTAATCTTCTCCCCTCTTTATTCGCAGAGTCGCTCATTTACACAGGTTCTTAGGCAGCAGAGGAAGGCCTAGTAGCGGATGGTCCGCGCCTGCTCTAGCTTATTCTCGGCTATGCATTTCTGCAGGAATAGCTCGTTCGAATCGAGTCTGGGTCGTCCGCTAAATTGGTCATCGCCTTTTCTTCGGGAGTCGAAGAACTGAGTGAAATTTACCTAGGTTTGCAGGTACGAGAGGAAGGCCCAATGGCGGATGGTCCGCACCTGCATTCAATAACCATAATCAGTCTACTTATCTGCGGGAGACGTTCGCTCGACTCGAGCCTGGCCGTAGATGATTCTTGTCTGTCCTTTTTTCTCGGTGTCAGCGAAATAACACTGATTCAACTAATCTCGTAGGCAGGATTGGAAGGTCCAGTAGCGCATGGTCCGCACCTGCAATTCATGGGGCTCCGGTAACATGGCAATTGATCCAACAGGAATAGCTCGTTCGAATCGAGCCTGGGCCATTACATCTTAGACGACAGCTTTTTTCATCCCACAGGCAATGAACTGCAGCTAATTTAAACTTCACAAGGTAGGATGGGAAGGCGGGCCGCCGCCGATTTATTCTCAGAGGCAACGACGCTCTGTCGGACGCGTCGGCTGGCTCAGCTGAATTTGATAAATAAAATTGCGACCCAACTCTAAACTAAATAAAATGTGTGCGGCCCGGATCCAGTCCGTAGACGGGTGGTGGGCAACAGCAGAGATCCCGGTCGTCCGGGATCCGTTCCGTTGACAAGGCTTTGAAGGCGCCAAGAATGGAGGGATAAAAGCACACACCCACCGCACATTCGAGGCCCACACGCAAGCTGAATTCGAGGACGGCGAGTCCGCCCCCGGCGCGGAAAGCATCGCAGAAGTTTTAGACAGGGGAGTAACGGAAGGTAAACACAAGAATAAGGCCGTCCCGATAATACAGCTCTGCGGCATCAAAGCAATAGTAAAGGAAGGAATATCTGACTGGCCGCGCCATGCGATCGGTTTCGCAGTTCGAGGTCCAGCAGAAGTCAGTTCTGGGCCGGCGCAGAGCTTAGGTCGCGACTCGACAGGAGGAAGCGGAACTCGAGGGTGCAGACGTGGGCAAGAAGAGGCGCCCAGCAGGCAGAGCTTCTCGGGGAATCGGATAAACCAGAGAGCCACAGTGGGGCAAAGGAGGCAAACGGGAACCCGCGGACGTTCATGCGCGCGCGCTCCTGGAGATGGGGCAATACCTTTACGGAGCGGGAGACAGAGGCGGAGCACGTAAGGATGCCCCAAGCCTTGAACTTGTCCCGACCGCGCATCTGCGATCGATCCCGCGCGCGCTCCTAGAAACGGCGTCAATATGGGGTGCAGGGAAAGCGAAGGGAACACCTAAGGATGATCCACGCTTTGCACTAGCTCGGTCGCGAACACGGATCCGGGATCCTGTGCGCTTGGCGTCAATGCGGAGAAGGAAAGCGGACGGCGCACGAGCGCCGGTGACATCCGAGTTGATGCACAGTGAGATCCGCGTCGATGCACTCTCCGCGACGGGCCGGACCGCGAACCGCGAGCTGCGGGACGTGGACGTGGAGCAGCTGCGCCTATACGCAAGTGCGATCGTCAATACCGCGCGAGGGAAGGGGGAAGAGGGAGGGGATGTACGTATACGGGTATCTCATGCCGTACGCCTCATTCCGTTCAAAAACTGCCATACTACGCGTCCCGACTCTCGACTTGGGTGTGCGCTACTGCGGCGCGAGATTCTCCAACGTCGGCGGTAGCTGTAAGCATTGTTAGTTCGGCGTGTGCTTTGGGGCTGGGCGCGGACTACATGGGCAGAAGAGCGTAGTGGTCGAATGGGCGGGCGGGGAGGGATGCGTATTGCAACGCGGTGGGCACTCGCGGTAAGCGATAGCGCGCATCTTGGATTCGTTCGTTCCCTAGCGCGCGGACTTGAAGAATACAAATTTAAGGGAGAAAGCGGAGGATGCTAGTGGGGGCAGTACCAGCGCCAGCATTGACGCGGCGTGCGAGTCGATGCGTCGATAAGGAGGCTGAGCGTGTGTGCCTGCCCTCTCTCGCACGCGGACTTGAAAACCACAGAAGGCGTTAGTAAGGGAGAAAGCTAAGGATGCCCCGGCGCAGCCCCGCTCTTCTGATGCGCGGTCGCCGCTCGAGCTAGCACCGCTGCTCACGCCGTATCCCCGCCTCCGAGGTCCAGCCACGCCCTCCGAGTCGATGTCCGAATCGTCCACTGTGCATTGGATGGATGGAAATAAACTTGAGAATCGAGTTGACGGTTGTGGATTGGTTGTGGATATAAGCAGAGCTACACAGCCACCTGCCCTTTTCTGAGTTCTGATTCGAGCGATTACCTTACATTGCTCGTGCTTGATGCGCTGCACATAGGTTTACGTTCGCGTCCGCGTTTTATCCTCCATCCATCCCTTTCATCGGAACTCTCAGGCATGCATCGCTCGATCTTGAATGTTGGTGTTCTGCCGCCGAAGGAATGTTCCCTGAATCCCGATGCGCCGTGGGTGTTGCGCGACTTAAAGTGAGTAACAAAATAATGCAGATTTAAACAGGTTTTTAACTGGTCTATTGAGGCCCAGTAGCGGATGGTCCGCGCCTGGACTCAATAATCGGTACCACATTATATCTTTGTAGGAGTCGCTCGTTCGAATCGAGCCTGGGTCATTGGCAAATATTGTCCGTCGCTTTTTTATTCTCCGCCTCAAACGAAGTAATGCTCATGTAACCAAGCTCACAGGTCCAATAAGAAGGCCCAGTGGAAGATGGTCAGCACCTGCACTCAATGAGTAGAGTTTGCATCGCTTTCTGTGGGAGACGCTCGTTCGATGGAACCTGGGCCTTTGACCGTTCCCCTCGTCTTTTTCCCCCGAGTCGACGAGATAACACTGATTCAACCAAGTTCACAGGAACCAGAGGGAGGCCCAGTAGCGGATGGTCCGCATCTGCCCTCAAGAGTTGATCCACTGTAAAGTATGCAGGAGATGCTCGTTCGAATTGAGCCTAAGCCGTACAAACTCATCCATACCTTTTAGCGGAATGAACGAAACGACGCTCATTTATTTATGTTCACAAGGAAAGGAGGAAGGCCCAGTAGTGGATGGTCCGCACCTGCACTCAATGAATGGCGCCCTTCACATAAATTGGCATGCGGGAATCGTTCGTTCGAATCGAGTCTGGGTCATAGTGCCAATCAGACCTGACCTTTTTATTCTCCAAGTCAAAAAACAACCCTGATTTGTATTGATTGATAGGCTGGATGGAAAGGCCCAGTGGCGGATGGTCCGCACCTGCATTCAATGCACTAGCGGCTGGAACGATTTATGTGGGAGATGCTCGTTCGAATCGAGTCTGGGTCTTGCCTCTTCTGCTCGCCGTTTTTGGTGGAGTTAACGAAACAACGCTGATTTAAATAGGTTCGTTACAGGTGGGGCAAGGCCCAGTAGCGGATGGTCCGCACCTGCACTCAATTGTACTCTTCTGTACAGCGTCTCTGCAGGAATGGCTCGTTCAAATCGAGCCTGGGCCATGTCTTTTTCCCTCCCGGAGTCAATAAACCAACACTGGTTTAACCTTGTTCGCAGGGAAAGGTGGAAGGCCCAGTAGTGGATGGTCCATGCCTGCACCCAATACATATACAGCACAGAAGTGCATGCTAGAGATGCTCGTTCGACTTGAGCCTGGGTCTTAGATGATCCATGTATGTCCTTTTTTCTCGGTGTCAGCAAAATAACCCCGATTTCAATCGGTTCGTAGGCAGGATGGGAAGGCCCAGTAGCAGATGGTCCGCACCTGCAATCCATGCTCCGGTGATATGGCAATTGATCCAGAAGGAATAGCACATTCGAATCGAGCCTGGGCCATTACATCTGAGACGACAACTTTTATCCTCTCAGAGGCAATGAACTGCAGCTGATTCAAACTTCACAAGATAGGATGGGAAGGCTTGGGCCGCCGCCGATTTATTCTCAGAGGCAAGGAAGCTCTGCCGGACGCGTCGGCCGGGTCAGTTGAATTTCATCAATAACATTACGACCCAACTCTAAATTAAGCACAGTGATCCCGAACAATGTGTGAAAATAAACTCCTTTTCGAGCAGTTCATGATGCAACCTGCCGTCGACGCCGTTCAAATGAGTCTCCAGTATATCTCATTCGTGGATCGATTGGGTACGAACGCATTTCCGATAAATCCTTTGATTTCCAGTCTGGAGATATCCATCAAGGTACGCATGAGCTGGACGGCTTGATGCGGTGATAGTGTTGACGTTATCAAGACTGCGCCTCTAAAATCTTCTCTCACATGGCCGCCGACCACACAGCCAACCACACAGACTCACCGCCTGGCTACTACGACGACTCCGACTCCACTGGCACGGCGAAAACTCAAGCAGCCGTTGGGTAACCCGATCGCCGAGCCCCGGTACGGTGGGTAACGGCGCCCACATCATCCGACCTGTTTGGCGCTAACGCAGCTCCCAGTTTACTATCGAATCTATATGGTAGATGGAGCGATACCATCCAAGACGGACTCTCAGAGTGGAAATCCGTTCGTCGGCCGTATCCAAGCCACGTCGGTTCCTCCGCCTCACACTGTCGCTTCCTTGAAACGGGCCTTGGTGCAAGCCGAGGAGCTCCCTGATCCCAACGGGGATCTCACCGGATTCTTCCAAACCACCGGCGCCCGCACTGCGATGATTCCCGGCGCTCGCGTTACCATCCTGACGGGCGACATCGGGGCGACGCCCGAGACAGGTTTTGCTCTGGTATTTCACGCAGAGGTACCCATAGCGGGTGTCCACGCCTCTCCCCTTGAGGAGCTTGTCTCTGGCGAGTCGTCCACGTACCGTGAGCCCGCTGTCGATGGACTTGGACCCCTACTAATATTATGGGCGTCAGTTTACTATCGACTTTACACCCGCGGTGGAGAAGACGCGTCCGGGCGCGCTTTTGATTCGCGCCACCCTGAACTGGGGCGAATTCAAACCGAGCTTATTTCCCCACCGCGCGATGTCTCCTCAATAAAACGACGCATCGCGAAAGTGGAGAAGAAGTCAATCTACCTATTCGCAGAGCTGTTCCCAGACATGTCGGCGGACAGAGCACTGGCGTCAGACGCGTTCTTACCCGATACTTGCGGTGCAACGGAAAATACCCCAATCCTCCTAGTACAGCCTGAGCGCCGCGCGGGATTGCACAACAGACCGATTCGAGTCCTTTCTGTTCCACCAGAATCGGGAAAGGCATGGTCGTGGGGCCCGTCTCGTTGGCTCTCACCCTCACCGGGCGACGTTCTTCACACCGATGGGATTAGTCGGTTGGAGACAGACAGCAAGGGTTGGCATATCTATGCCTACACCGCAGTTGATCGCCGGGGAAAGACAGGATGTGAGTTGTCCCGAGTTCCCCGAAGCTCACACTTTGTCTGACGTTTGAATGATCCAGTGCTGCGGGCTGGTGAGACTCTATACTATTCCCTCCGCTCGTCATTTGAATTCTGATCCCACATTCAGCACACACCGAATTTCTTGACGAGAATCCGAGCTCATGGCAATGCACCATCCAGTAGTGCCTGCGGTTTGACTTGAGGAGGAGATTTTATCTGGAATGAGATACACTCGACTACCCGATGAAGTCTGTGTTTGTAATTGAACTTGAGCTCTTGGCTGCATACATTCGCGAAGACCATTCAGTATGAGTATTTCTCATCATATCTTTTGGTTTAAATAAGCAGGGTGGTGACTTTCTAATCGCGCACATGCCATGGATTTTAATAAAGCCGGATCTATGGCAGTCACTGAGTCACTCTGTGGGGAGAGCGTCGAACGCATCCGGTTCGGTAGGGTTATGAGTCCTTGGAGAATTTAGGATATCCGGCGAAAGTTAAAGGAGCCTAAGAATCTCGAACCGGGAACTGCGCGCGGCCCGAATCCAGTCCGTAGACAGGTGCTGCGCAAGATATTCGCTCTCGATCTTCACCATGCGGGGTAATAGCAGAGATCTTGGGCGTCCCGTATCCGTTCAGTTTCCAAGGATTTGTAGGCACCAAGAATGTAAGGATATAAGCACGCATCCACCGCACCTTCGACGCGCACAAACGAGCTGAATTCGAGGACGGCGAGTCCGCCCCCCTGCGGAAAGCATCGCAGAAGTCGTAGACGAAGGAGTAACCGAAGGCAAACACAAGAATAGTATTATTAAGACTGTCCCAATAATACAGCTCTGCGGCATCAAAGCAATAGTGAAAGGAAGGAATATCTCATTCGCCGCGCCATGCGATCGGTTCCGCAGTTGGAGGTCCAGCAGAAGTAAGTTCCAGGCTAGCACGGAGCGTAGGTCGCGGCTCGACAGTAAGAAGCGGGACTCGAGGGTGCAGACGTAGACAAGAAGAGGCCCCTAGCACGCAGAGCTTCTCGGGGAATCGGAGAAATAAGAGAGATACAGTGGGACAAAGGAGGCAACGAAGGCAAACGGGAGCCGGCGGACGTTCATGCGCGCGCGCTCCTGGAGATGGCGGCAATACCGTTACGGAGCAGGAGAAAGAGGCGGAGCGCGTACGGATGGGCCAAGCCTTGAACTTGTGCGATCGATCCCGCGCGCGCGCCCCTAAAAACGGCGTCAATATGGGGCGCGGGGAATGCGAGGGGAACACGGGCGGATGCTCCACGCCTTGCACTAGCTCGGTCGCAAACGCGCATCTGCGATCCTGGGCGCTCGGCGTCAATGCGGAGAGGGAAGGCGGACGGCGCACTCCAAGCCTGCACCACCGCCTCTATCGTCCTTCGTTCGCTCGCGGACGTTCATGCCCGCGTAATCCTGGAAATGGCGTCAGGGAAAGTGAGGGGTAACACGCACGGATACCTCAAGCCTCCGCATCCACCCCCGTCCGCGTATCTACGATCCTGCGCTCGGCGGGGCATCTGCGATCCTGCGCTCCGAGTCCTAGGTAGAGAGAGCACCAATACCGTTACGAAGAAAGGGAGGACAGAGGAGGGGAGCACGCACGGATACTCCAAGCGTCCGAATCCGTACGTGCATGCGCCCCGTACATCTTCATGCTGCACTCCTGTCGTCAATACGGAGAGGGAGGGCAGGGCAGCACGCACGGATTGCAACGCCGGCGTGAGCTCGTTCCGTCCCGACTCCCGACCGAGCCTCTGCGCTCCTGTGCGCGCGCTCCGGTGTCAATACCATAGGGGATCGGGGAAAACAAAAGAGGGAGCACGCACGGGTGCGCGACGCGATTACCACGCTGCTCGGCCCAGACGTGGCAATAAGTACTTATGGAGTGCCCTCGGTGCCGTGCGCCTCGGATTCGCCGATGCACAGGCGTAGGCGGAGTTGCGCGTAGCTGCAGATAGAATATGTCATTCACAAATTATTATGAGAGATGAAGGACGGACGGGGACGTGCGAGCAGCAGTACTAGTCCTGTGGTGCGCGGGCCTGCACCGGTGACATCCGAGTCGATGCGCAGTGAGATCCGCGTCGATGCACGCTCTGCGGCGGGCTGGATTTGTCGCGAACCGCGGGCTGAGGGATGTGAACGTGGAGTAGCTGCGCCTATACGAAAATGTGATCGTCAATACCGCGCACGAGGGAGCGGGGAGGGGGAGGGAGACGTACGTATACGGGTATCTGACGCCGCACGCCTCATCCCGCTCAAAAA